GAAATCGAGAACTCCGTGATATATGAGTATACCAACCAGAGATTTCCTGTCTCACCTTTCAAATTTTTTTAATTCAATGCAAGGTGCACCTGGAAAAGACAAGTTGATGTCACAATGCCTTTCAAGCTCAATGTTCTTACACTTGATCGAGGTGAATACAAATGTTATCACACTTAAAATTAGTTGCCCATTTAACTACAGTTATGAGGTTTGATACCATAGCAATCATTAGCCATTGAATGAAAGCTAAAAATGCATATTTGATGATACAGCTTTGTCCCATGCAACCATTTACCTTATGGCTAGTACCCTTAGCTGTAGATCTATCTTCTGCCGGTGAACTTTGATGCCATTGTACTTTTTTTTTTTTTTGGCTTATATAAACTATGAAGATGCCATCTATAATACCAATTTCCGAGTTTCATTTTTTATTGAACTGGGAGTACAATATATGTTTTATTCAATTGTCAATATAAGAATGTTGAACAGAAACAATTTTAGACTTTTCCTTCACTCCTCACATTTTCATGCTAACCACCATTTTTTTTTCTTGAAAGAAAATCTTTCAACAAACACATTTGTCATGTTTTTTTCATTCATTAGTCACTTAAATCCTTCAGACATTCACAGCATAACTAGATAGTTTTTCCTTTCTTTGCAACTAACCTAGAACTTTTACGGAGCTGATAATGAATATCATATGCTATGAAGAAGTTAATTCCGACGGAAAAAAACAATAAGAGAAAGTGTAATGCCCCTAGACTCGCATTGTACACTATCATCTGCTATGGTTAGACTAATACAGTTTTAAAAAGCATTATATAATGAAGCTTCAAAGCTCAAATTCATCAAACACTCCACACACCACTTTTTAACCAGGTCACCACAGTCCATCCCATCCACTTTTAGGACCCGTCCAACCTAGGTGATTTGAGATTTTGAGGGATCACTCTCATCACACTAGTTGCTACTATCCTCAACCCAAGGATCAAAATATCGTTTTGAAACGGTCGAAACATTCGAAACGTTTCCGTTTCCAAGGAGACTGAAACGAATCAGTGATGGAATCGAAATTCTAATACTTCAAGGTGTTTCATAATGTTTTGAAATGTTGTTATATTTCAATATATTTGCACAATTATTTTAGAATGTTTTAAGATATTTTCAAGATATTTTGGTATATTTCGACCACTATTTGAAAAAATAAGTCTTGAATTTTTTATTTTTTTCATTTTATTTTCAAAATGGGTTGAAAGGTTTTCAAAACACATTGAAATGTTTCCGTTTTTGAGGTGACCGAAACGATGCATTGAAACAAAATTTTGATCCTTGTCTCAACCACCGCCATGCTGAGTCGAGGCGCACCAAGTAGGCATGTAACTTGAGCAGGTCAACCCAAGCACAACAAAATATTTAGTGCGTAACCAAAGATTTTTCAGTACACAGGCTGGGCTTAGACAAACAATAGGTAACTTGATTTATATATGGACCATACCTAGACTGGGGCCTTGAGCTCTCGAGACTCGACACGAACCCAANGTACACAGGCTGGGCTTAGACAAACAATAGGTAACTTGATTTATATATGGACCATACTTAGATTGGGGCCTTGAGCTCTCGAGACTCGACACGAACCCAGNTATGACTGTTATTAAGATTTGCAATATTATTAGTGTTTATTTTAATTTAAATGTTTATGATTTTACTTTAAATGTTTATGGTTTTACTTGTATTTAAATATTTAGTATATATAAAATTAAAACTTTGATGTGTATAAGTAATTACACTAAAATATTTATTTATTTTTTTAACTGCTCGCTTCGCTTTGGTAAATCGTTTCGCTTCGCTTCTCGCTTCTCGCCTAGGCGTTAAGAGCCTTGGTCGCTTCGGTTCGCTTAACGCCTTAAATAACACTGTCTTCACCTGCCCAACCACTCGAGTTACACCCCTAGCACCAAGGGATGCACAGACTACACACTCTCCACACTATTAAATACAATGGCTGTAATATAATTTGTAAGGCTCCGGAGTCCTGGATTGGCAATGTACACTACTATTTTCTTTGGGCTAGGCCCGCCCAATTTTAAAATGAATTATGCAATAAAGATCCTAAACTCAAACTTACAGAGTACACACACTGCACCAAGATAAATGGGATTAGGTCACCACAAAGAANATATAATTTGTAAGGCTCCGGAGTCCTGGATTGGCAATGTACACTACTATTTTCTTTGGGCTAGGCCCGCCCAATTTTAAAATGAATTATGCAATAAAGATCCTAAACTCAAACTTACAGAGTACACACACACTGCACCAAGATAAATGGGATTAGGTCACCACAAAGAAAGAGAGAGAGTGAAGTCATAAACTTCAACACTCACCCTTATAAATTGTTAAATTTGAAACAAGGATATGAGGATCTTAGGTACCACGTGAGTCCCACGGTCTGACGTCACATGACCAAGGATCAAAATATCGTTTCGAAACGGTCGAAACATTTTCGTTTCCAAAGAAAGCGAAACGAAACAACGATGGAATCGAAATTATGATATTTTGAGGTATTTCATAATGTTTTTAAATGTATTATAACATTTCAATGCAATTGTACAATTGTTTTAGAATGCTTTAAGGTATTTCAAGATATTTTGATATATTTTCATCAATGTTTTAAAAAAATAATTATTAATTTTTTTATTTTTTCCATTATGTTCCCGAAACAGGTCAAAACGTTTCCTAAACACATTGAATCGTTTCCGTTTCCTAGATGACCGAAACAATACACCGAAACGATATTTTGATCCTTGCACATGCCCCAAAACAATATGGGTCCGCGATCTAGATTGCCCTATTCCCAACCTCAAATTAGAACCCTAATCCTAAATTATCAAACAACCAACCCCATTGTAACTCTAGTCCTAAATTATAATCATATCATGGATTAAGGTCCCAATATCGACTATCGATCAAAAGGTATTGATACACATTGATCGCAGCGTCGTGGCACGATATAGGTCGATACGAATACATTCAAAATGCAAGATAGAAGGTCCAAAAATTTCTAAAAATTCACCAAAATTGCTANATTATAATCATATCATGGATTAAGGTCCCAATATCGACTATCGATCAAAAGGTATTGATACACATTGATCGCGGCGTCGTGGCACGATATAGGTCGATACGAATACGTTCAAAATGCAAGATAGAAGGTCCAAAAAATTCTAAAAAATCACCAAAATTGCTNGTCGTGGCACGATATAGGTCGATACGAATACATTCAAAATGCAAGATAGAAGGTCCAAAAATTTCTAAAAATTCACCAAAATTGCTAAAAAAATGAAACCATAGTCATGCATCATATGTTCAAAATACATCATCTAACATATAAACATAATTAAAATGCATTACATGGGCACTACGGAAAACATGTGTTATTATTAGTATTAAATATAAGAGCACGTCAAAAAACAAAAATTTATAAAAAATGCTAATTTAATATGATTTAAGTCATAAGTAAATATACATTACAGAATTATGAAAATAAAGTACATTATTAAAATCTATTTGGCATAAAAAGAAGAATATTGATTCAAATATATAACAAATCTTATAAAAAAACAAACTTAACCAAGACATTTATTATGAAATTAGTAAAAGACTCATTAAAAAAATAAAAGTTAAAAAAAAAAAAAAAAACTATGCATTCTATACAAGTAATAGGATGGGAGAGGCTAAGACGACAAACAAGAGACTCTTATTTTTGGGATTTCATCTGTGTGAGAGAGAGAGAGAGAGAGAGAGAGAGATTGGAGGCTCATAGGTTAGTAACAAGGAAGAAGCGACAAGAACAGTGACAAAGCTAGGCCTACTGACCGCAACAGACTCCACAAAGATGAAGAAGATGAAAAAGAATGGGGCTCTCATAGTGACTCTTTTGGATTCTATAGGCTTTCTCATAAACTGGCTTAATTATTTCTTCTTTGGCAAAACAAGGGTCTAATTTAAAAGTCAATGATTGGAAGATTGCACGTGATTTTGTGATTTAGGGTCAAAAAATTGCACAGTAACATGTGGGTATCTGCGAATTTTGATTGCTTGCTAATCAATCCCTTTTACTTTGGGTTTTTCTTTCTTGTCCGAGCGATTCCAACATTTGAATGATTCAATTGCAAGTTGGGTCTTCTTTTACACATGCGGATCTCATTCATTCCTTCCGTTCTGCCTTTTTTTTGGCATTTTTTACCTTCTAAGATCTGATGAACAGTTCTGACCATATTAGGTTACACGGATGCGATTCGTCCAATTCAAACCTAATAAATCTAATTTGTACCAATGTTATCGAGTCAAAACCGATTCATGCTACAAGTTGGTTATTTCCATAGAGTGGCTCATTATGGGTTTGATGGTAGCTGGGTAGCATACGACTCAAAGTTGTATCAAACTTGGTCACTACTTTGACCCTTGAATTATTCCAATTAATTAATTTATTTACTTTTATAATCTTTAAAATGTGGATTGATTGTTTCGATTTTAATTTTTCTTGTTATACTAGTATACAATGATTAAGTTTTATCATTCACCACCATTAGCGAGTACATTTTTCATATTAATCGTCACTTTGAAAATCTTATCATAAAAAAGTAATAAATATTAATGGACTATGAATTGGAGCTAATTATATATAATTGATAATAGTGAAAAAGATCCGAATAAGAATTCTAAAACAAATCATGACTCAAAATAGCGTGTCAACTAAGTCTACCCCCATCATATCATGTATCGGAAAAAGTATTGTACGGATACTCATACCCCTTCCAGATATCAAATCAACCCATAATACTAGTAGCTTTGATAAGAATACAATATTCACGTTATTTTCTTCTAAATACAGCAATGCTAAAGCTCCACATGGTGCAATTACTTAAAAGGCTGTTATATAAAAGACAGAACAAACAATGACATGCAGTTGTATACTATCTCCTATTTCAAGTCATATGAATTCAGGGACCATTTGGACAGCATGCACAGTTCAAATCGATTATATGATTCGAAAGCATTTGAGGATCAAAATTCTTCAGAAAGGAATTCTACACTTAGCACCAGCATCATTTTTTACAACATAATAACATCATGTATGCAAAATTAGTGCATGACCAATGAATGTGTACCTTAGAGACCAATCGCAAGGATCTTCTGGGGATGATCTGTCCACTTAGACGCTTGGCGCTTCTTAAAATTCTCTTGTCACATTCGCCATAAGCATTGTCAGATTCACCTTTATGCCTCCTCTTATGTCCTCCATCAGATACCAAGTCTTCCGACCTTTTCTCTAATGTGCTGCTACAAGACAAATGTAAACAGCAAACATATGCATACTTAGATTACCACATCGCACAGATTAACATAAAAAAAAAAAGAAAAAAAAAATCCTCTAGAAAGAGTGATTACTCTGAAGTCTCAGTTCTGCTGATAGGGCTCCCCCTTTCCTGCAGACAGCAAGACGTTACAATTTTCTGTTTGTGGGTGATCAGGCACCATGACCAAAAACCCAGTTAATCAAGTTCATAGCAATACAAAAATTCAAATGTTTTGTAAGCAAAACCAAGTCAAGAGCTTCGAAACAACTACATTATTACTTCAGGCAATGAAGCCAAATTCAAATTGACACGACAAGAAGACCTTCCACCCATGAAACAAACCAGAAAATACGCAAAAGCCACAAGCAATCAATCAAATGCCCAGATAATCTCCTAATATTCATATTTAAATCTATCGCTGTAAATAATCACTCAAGCAATACATTAGATACTAGGAACCACGGATAGAGATACGAGATATGGGTACGATATAATACGGATACGACGATACGACAAAACTCAAAAGATAGGATATGGGTACGCTAAGATACGTCTGTAAACATATATTTTTACTATTATGTAATGACTTGATGTCTATAATTTTTAGCAATTCTTTAACAATAATAAACAAAATTAACAATTTTTTATTTTCAAAACTTACCTATCGTCTCACTATAATACATCGACAAAGTGAACATGATTAATTAAATGAATAAAAACTAATATTTAATTATATTTTTTGCTTAGAAGTATTTGTTGCAAAGATTATAGAGTAATTAACTCATTTAAAACTCTTTGGACATGTGATAATTGATAATGCTCGGAAAACATTCATGTGTCTTCTCAAGTCATGTGATTTTTTGTTGACGTATGTGAAATCAAAAGGAAGGGGTAAAGATTAAAACTAAAAATTACATATACTTGTTTACATATGGAAGTATCCATGAAGTATATATATATTTTATTTATTATTATATACGTTTAATGTGAATCTGATACATATTCTCGAGTATCGTATTATATATCATTTATTTTCTCTGTCCCTTCAGTCGAAGTGAAATAAAGTAAAATGCACATTATAAACACTTAAAAGAAAAAAGAAAAAGGCATAATGCTTGCCTTGGCGGAACAAAAGAACACGAAGAACACTACGATTCTAAGTGTATAGAACACACACTCTAAATCTACAAAGAAAGGAACAAGAGAATAACTATAAAAAAATGTATGCTATTCAATAAATAAGTAGAATTGTAAAATATAAGACAATTTATAGAAAAATTCAAAACCCTAGGAATTCTAAAATGGAAACAAATCTCTAGTCTTTGAAAAGTTACCAAAAACAAATAAACACTAATGTAGAATGAGAATTAACAATTATTCTATTTTTATTTTTATTTGTTTATTTTTATTATTTGGTTTGGGTGAGACTTTAATTAGGAATTTTTTAGAATATTTAATTGCCTAAATCAGGTCAATTTTCCTAATTCATTATACATGTGTTTATTTGTTTTTGATAACTTTTCTAAAACTAGAGATTTGTTTCCGTTTTAAAATTCTTAGGGTTTTGAATTTTCCTATAAATTATCTTATGTACTTCAATTCTACTCAGTTATTGAATAATATATCTTTTTTAGAGATATTCTCTAATTCCTTTCTCTTTGAATTCAGAGTGTGTGTTCTATACATTTAGAATCTTAGTGTTCTTCATGTTTTTTTGTTCCACTACGTCAGTTAGTATTAGAACCTTGCCTAACCTACTGTGATGGCCAATCAACGAATTGATAACAATCTTTTTAATGACGGTGATCATATGGAAGAGGCTCGCCCAAGAGCCGAATTCTTAAATTTTCAACGACAACAACAACTGTTTTAGCAATTCTAGCAATCCTTGCAAAAGTTGCAAGTTNAAAAAAAAAATCCTCTAGAAAGAGTGATTACTCTGAAGTCTCAGTTCTGCTGATAGGGCTCCCCCTTTCCTGCAGACAGCAAGACGTTACAATTTTCTGTTTGTGGGTGATCAGGCACCATGACCAAAAACCCAGTTAATCAAGTTCATAGCAATACAAAAATTCAAATGTTTTGTAAGCAAAACCAAGTCAAGAGCTTCGAAACAACTACATTATTACTTCAGGCAATGAAGCCAAATTCAAATTGACACGACAAGAAGACCTTCCACCCATGAAACAAACCAGAAAATACGCAAAAGCCACAAGCAATCAATCAAATGCCCAGATAATCTCCTAATATTCATATTTAAATCTATCGCTGTAAATAATCACTCAAGCAATACATTAGATACTAGGAACCACGGATAGAGATACGAGATATGGGTACGATATAATACGGATACGACGATACGACAAAACTCAAAAGATAGGATATGGGTACGCTAAGATACGTCTGTAAACATATATTTTTACTATTATGTAATGACTTGATGTCTATAATTTTTAGCAATTCTTTAACAATAATAAACAAAATTAACAATTTTTTATTTTCAAAACTTACCTATCGTCTCACTATAATACATCGACAAAGTGAACATGATTAATTAAATGAATAAAAACTAATATTTAATTATATTTTTTGCTTAGAAGTATTTGTTGCAAAGATTATAGAGTAATTAACTCATTTAAAACTCTTTGGACATGTGATAATTGATAATGCTCGGAAAACATTCATGTGTCTTCTCAAGTCATGTGATTTTTTGTTGACGTATGTGAAATCAAAAGGAAGGGGTAAAGATTAAAACTAAAAATTACATATACTTGTTTACATATGGAAGTATCCATGAAGTATATATATATTTTATTTATTATTATATACGTTTAATGTGAATCTGATACATATTCTCGAGTATCGTATTATATATCATTTATTTTCTCTGTCCCTTCAGTCGAAGTGAAATAAAGTAAAATGCACATTATAAACACTTAAAAGAAAAAAGAAAAAGGCATAATGCTTGCCTTGGCGGAACAAAAGAACACGAAGAACACTACGATTCTAAGTGTATAGAACACACACTCTAAATCTACAAAGAAAGGAACAAGAGAATAACTATAAAAAAATGTATGCTATTCAATAAATAAGTAGAATTGTAAAATATAAGACAATTTATAGAAAAATTCAAAACCCTAGGAATTCTAAAATGGAAACAAATCTCTAGTCTTTGAAAAGTTACCAAAAACAAATAAACACTAATGTAGAATGAGAATTAACNTTTATAGAAAAATTCAAAACCCTAGGAATTCTAAAATGGAAACAAATCTCTAGTCTTAGAAAAGTTACCAAAAACAAATAAACACTAATGTAGAATGAGAATTAAAAATTATTCTATTTTTATTTTTATTTGTTTATTTTTATTATTTGGTTTGGGTGAGACTTTAATTAGGAATTTTTTAGAATATTTAATTGCCTAAATCAGGTCAATTTTCCTAATTCATTATACATGTGTTTATTTGTTTTTGATAACTTTTCTAAAACTAGAGATTTGTTTCCGTTTTAAAATTCTTAGGGTTTTGAATTTTCCTATAAATTATCTTATGTACTTCAATTCTACTCAGTTATTGAATAATATATCTTTTTTAGAGATATTCTCTAATTCCTTTCTCTTTGAATTCAGAGTGTGTGTTCTATACATTTAGAATCTTAGTGTTCTTCATGTTTTTTTGTTCCACTACGTCAGTTAGTATTAGAACCTTGCCTAACCTAGTGTGATGGCCAATCAACGAATTGATAACAATCTTTTTAATGACGGTGATCATATGGAAGAGGCTCTCTCAAGAGCCGAATTCTTAAATTTTCAACGACAACAACAACTATTTTAGCAATTCCAGCAATCCTTGCAAAAGTTGCAAGTTACGGTTGCCTAGTTAATGTTGGGTCCAAATTAGGATCTCATTTGAAATAAGGTGTTGAACGGCGATAGGACTCATGTTCTACTTTTTTGCGATTATAATCCTATTTATCATACCAGACGGTGTGTTCATGGTACAATTACCCGAGTATCACCTATTGCATATTGGAATGATGTTGAAGAATATAGTACATATCAATCCAAGACAATGAAGTAAGTGTGGATCGAGACAATTGATTCAAGGTAATGATACTGAGTCACAAGTTTTTTCATTATATGATTATTCTGCTCATCAAGTTCCATATTAGAAATCCATGAATGTAAATTTTCCAAGCACACCGAGGGATCAGAAAAGTGACGAGAAAAATACTAATCCACATATTCCGACAATTCATAATTATGAAAGTCCAAAAAAGAAAGATCAATTTGAACTGTGCATGTTGTAGGGGGCAGATGCAATCACAGACATTATAGCAAGCCGTGTAGGGATAGGAAAGATCAATCTCAAATACAAGGCAGATGCATGCGGGCACACCAAATTTTTGAAGTAATGGAAACTTGAAGACGAGTTTTCTAAGAGGGAGGGTCTGATGTAGAACGAGAATTAGCAATTATTCTATGTTTATTTTTATTATTTTGTTTGGGTGAAACTTTAATTAGGGATTTTTTAGAATATTTAGTTGTTTAATCCATGCCAATTTTCCTAATTCATTAAACATGTGTTTATTTGTATTTTGGTAACTTTTCTAAGATTAAGGATTTATTTCCGTTTTGGAATTCTTAGGGTTTTGAATTTTCCTATAAATTATCTTATGTACTATAATTCTACTCAGTTATTGAATATTATACCTTTTTTAGATATACACTTAGAATCATAGTGTTCTTTGTGTTCCTTTATTCTGTTGTGTCATTAGAACATGCAAAATGCGTTTGATACATGCACAAGTACCGCAACAGGTTTCAGAAGTATTAATACAAAATTATTTTTCATCTGATTTTGCAAAATTAATCAATGTCTTCTAATTACATAGGAACATATCTATAGTGTATGCTGCAAAATTAAAGAAACAGTTAAGTCTACATAAATATTAAGTACGCTCAAATTTTTCTTAGAATTTGGAAGTCCACAAAGGAAAAAATTAACTATTATCATCCAAAAACATTTTTGTGAGATGTTCCAAAGTAAAATCAACATCATGCAGCAAGATAGAAAGTTAAATTAAAGTATATATTACCCATTTTTCAGAAGATGTTGGTGTGAAGTTCACGCAAGCATCATGGTTAATCTCAGTGGAGATAACTAATTCGCCATCTCCTGCCTCCACATTGTATACTTTATCGACCAAATTCAGAGAACAATTATCTAGTGAAGGAGAACATGATGGATCTTTCATGGGACTTCCCTCTCCTGACCGCTGCATCTCCACAGAACCAGTTACTGAACATCCAGGATATTGCACACTTGGTTTCTCAAGACTGCAAGCGCTCTGTACTGATATATTCCCACAATTAGCACTATGCAGCTTTGAATTTTGATCCTCCAATAAGTTAAGACCTTTACTAGCTGATGTCAAGTTATGAACAGAATCACGGGCTAATTTTACCTGAATAGCACCAAAAACATTTGAATCAGCAGTTTTATTTTCCTCATCTGTTGGACAAGATTTTGTATCACGAACCATCTGGTTTGGTACATCAGAACTGAATCTAGATAAGACTGCAACATCTTTCCCTTCCTCCAAATGTGCAGACATTTCTGCAGAACCACTGCATGATTTTGCCGGCAAGAGTCCCAGTGACCAGTCCTCTCTCTGTGGTTGACCACATCCCACATGATCATTTTCATTCGTAATTAAATTCAGCAAGGAGTCAGTATGCACATGGCCGTTGTTCAGGTTCTTGTCTGAATCTGTATTCCAGAGAAGTGAACTCTCTATGTCCTTCTTACCGTTTCCTAAATATTCAAGCTCCTGACAAAAACTTTGAAATTTGTTTTTCTGCAAATTCTGACAAGTAAACACCTCATTTTCCAGTCTCATAGGCCAGTCTGACAGGCTTGAATCCAAATCAACAATAAGGTTGATCCCATCTTCCGATCTAACACAAAACTCAAAAGCAGGAGCTGGTGTACAAGATTTCCCAGAGGAAGCAATCGCGTTCTCTGCTGCATCATACTTTCCATTTCTATGCTGAATTCGGGTCATATTACACACCCCAACTGCTCCTGCAGAATCCAAAATGTTACTGGCAGAGCTCATTTCTGGGGAATCCAATATATATTCAGAACCATTCTCATCACAGCGATGCAATCTGTAAGCAGGATGTCTCTTTTTTCTTGCAAATTAAGCGGAGTGACTTCAAGATATCTGATATGAAGCATCCAATCAGAAATTTCAGTCCCTCGTACCTGCATCAACACAGGTATATAGATGAAATGCCGATTATTTTGTCTGCATTAACAACACAATGTGATAAGAGGTAACTGGGCTAGAAAGTTCAACACCCAGGCCATTTCCTGAAACCTGTGTGAAATGTTGCAATCTAGTATAATAACCAATAATTCGCACTTCCGAATAGAAAGATGTTAAAAAACAAATGCATTTGGACTATGCAGTGCAGGGCCAATAGGCTAATTGGGCCGATAGTTTTGGTGAGACATTTTATCAAGCAGGTGGACTACAAAATACACGCCTCGACTAAATTGGTTGAACATACCTATTAAAACCAACATACAGAAAAGTTGGACTTTTGTGTGCGTGTGTGTGTGTCACCTTCTTGTTAACATGGTTAAATATAGTATGTATATAAACTCTTTGCAAGCCTATTTTCACCGGCAAGAGTTCAAAACAATTGGTATCAGAGTTAGTACAGCAGAGTTAGCACCGCGTCAGAGTAAGGAATCGAACCCAGTGTTGACTGTAGTTCTCTACTGCCGAATCACGAAACAAACCACACATATAGGCTAATGACTTGGTAATATGTATGGATATAGTGTGCTATGTCACTAAATACGGGTTAGCGTCGACAATTCTACATAGACCAACGTCTTACCTACAAAGCTCATACATAGAAAAGAACCAGAGAAAAGCAAATACACCTTCAAAACGGCACGCCGGAGAATCTTGAAGTTGAATGTCTTGATCAAGGAACCCAGGAGAAAGCAGAAGCTTGGGCTGACAACACCACATCTACACTTGCAGTTTCCCTCCTTTTGGTTTGGTTTTGTTTTGGATTCTTTACTCGGTCAAACAAATTATTTACAATTGATTTTATATTATGACAATTGGTTTTGTATTCTCTCATCATGGTATTAAAAATCTCGATAATCTTCAACATGTCAACGAAATACGATTTCAGGACAGCTCTTAATTTAATGGGTTAATCTCATTTTGTACTCTGAAAGGTTGTTCGAATTTTAATTTGTACCCTCAAAGATCAAAAATCTCAATTTATATCCTCAAAAATAGAAATTTGTATCAATGTGCACCCCCAAAAATCAAAAATCTCAATTTACACCCTCAAAGATAGAAATTTGTATCAATGTGCATCTCCAAAAATAAAAAATCTCAATTTGCACCTTCAAAGATAGAAATTGTATCAATGTGCACCTAAAATTAAATTAATAAATTATACATTGATCCCCTCATGTTTGTCACTTAATCATTTGAACTCCTTCACATTTAGAATATTCCCTTTATATCTCATGACGTTTATGCATATGTAACACATAACCACTTTTCGTTGATATATATTAATATAATCGTTAAAAAATATGATTTTATCCTAATATAAAATTATAATTTTATATTACCTTTTATTTTGTGGATTCGATATACTCTAAAATTGAAAATCAAGCTTACCATTTGAATGTCTAATAAAATGTAGATATTTATATAAAAGGTAATATGAAAAATATTATATAAATATTTATATTTTATTAGACATTCAAATGGTAAACTAGATTTTGAACTTTATAGTATATTGAACCTATAAAATAAAGGGTAATATGAAATTATAATTTTTTATTAGGATAAAATTATATTTTTTAACGGTTATATTAATAGATATCAATGAAAATGGGTTACGTGTTATACGTGCACAAATGTCATAAGATGTAGGAGTAATATTCTAAATGTGAAGAGGTCTAAATGATTAACTGACAAATATGAGGGGATTTAGGTATAATTTATCAATTTAATTTTAGGTGCACATTGATATAAATTTCTATCTTTGAGGGTGCAAATTGAGATTTTTTATCTTTGGGGTACACATTGATATAAATTTCTATCTTTGAGGGTGCAAATTGAGATTTTTGATCTTTGGGGGTGCACATTGATACAAATTTCTATCTTTGAGGGTGTAAATTGAAATTTTTGATCTTTGAGGATGTAAATTAAGATTCGAACAATTTTTCGGGGTACAAAATGAGATTAACCCTAATTTAATGGTCATTATCTTTTGGGTTAATGGCAAATTGTATTCCAAAAATCATTCAAATTTTAATTTATATNGGTGCACATTGATACAAATTTCTATCTTTGAGGGTGTAAATTGAAATTTTTGATCTTTGAGGGTATAAATTAAGATTCGAATAATCTTTCGGGGTGCAAAATGAGATTAACCCTAATTTAATGGTCATTATCTTTTGGGTTAATGGCAAATTGTATTCCAAAAATCATTCAAATTTTAATTTATATTCTCAAAAATTAAAAATCTTAATTTACATTTTTAAAAATATAAATTTGTATCAATGCAAACCTAAAGCTTCCACCCTTTAGTTTGTAGTCTAAAATTAGTTGGATAAATTATATTTAAACCCCTCAAGTTTGTCACTTAATCAGTTAAATTTCCTCATATTTAAAATATTACTCCTACACCTCATATTTAAAATATTACTCCTACACCTCATAACGTGTGTGCACTTGTAACATATAACCCCTTGTCCNTTTTTAAAAATATAAATTTGTATCAATGCAAACCTAAAGCTTCCACCCTTTAGTTTGCAGTCTAAAATTAGTTGGATAAATTATATTTAAACCCCTTAAGTTTGTCACTTAATCACTTAAATTCCCTCATATTTAAAATATTACTCCTACACCTCATAACGTTTGTGCACTTGTAACATATAACCTCTTGTCTNCAATGCAAACCTAAAGCTTCCACCCTTTAGTTTGTAGTCTAAAATTAGTTGGATAAATTATATTTAAACCCCTCAAGTTTGTCACTTAATCAGTTAAATTTCCTCATATTTAAAATATTACTCCTACACCTCATATTTAAAATATTACTCCTACACCTCATAACGTGTGTGCACTTGTAACATATAACCCCTTGTCCTTGATATCTGTTAATATAATAATTAAAAAATATGATTTCATCCTAATATAAAATTATAATTTTTATACTACTATTTATTTTGGGGCTCCGTCATACTATAAAGTTCAAAATCAAGTTTACAATTTGAATGTTTAATATAATACAAATATTTACATAGTGTTTTTTTATATCCAATGTAATACATAAGTTGAACAGAATTATTTTGAATGTCCAATTGAGGTAACATTTTTAGTCATATTTGGATTCTCAAGGGATGTAGGTGTAATATTTCAAATGTGAGGGGTCTAAGAAACTAAGTGAAAGACATGAGAGGGTTTAAATGTAATTTATCTATTTAATTTTAGACTTCAAACTAACCGGCAGCTTCAGGTGTGTATTGATTCAAATTTATATTTTTGAGGATATAAATTAAAAATTTTAATCTTTAAGGGTATAAATTAAAATTCAAATAATATTTTGAAGTAAAATTTACAATTAACCCTTATTTTTTATTGGAGTTGAAAGTTCANAATTAAAAATTTTAATCTTTAAGGGTATAAATTAAAATTCAAATAATATTTTGAAGTGCAATTTACAATTAACCCTTATTTTTTATTGGAGTTGAAAGTTCGGACGTCGTCTTTTCTCCCTTCCTTTTTATATAATTGTGTCTGATCAAAAAAGATTGGCTTTAAAACAAAATTAACACTAATTTTGAATAGAAATCCAAAATAAAGAAATCAAAAAAGATGGTCATAATTAAATAAACTAAGCAATAACTCAAAAATGATTACGAAATTTGTTTTCCTAGGTAAGAGGATAAATCAAAATCAGATAGTGATGCTCTATAATTTATTTTGGATTGTGTTCTCATGAAAATAAATATAACATCGGGAGTAATTATTAATTAAATAATAATAATGTAAAAAGATAATACATAATAAGGTATTTATTAAAAAAATATTAGGAATAATAAANATAGTGATGCTCTATAATTTATTTTGGATTGTGTTCTCATGAAAATAAATATAACATTGGGAGTAATTATTAATTAAATAATAATAATGTAAAAAGATAATACATAATAAGGTATATATTAAAAAAATATTAGGAATAATAATAAAATAGCATTACTTATAAAATAATGATAAGAATCAGATTGTGATTAAAAACAAAAAATTATAGAAAGGGTCCAATTAGAAATGCCCATATCAAGTAGCTTGGTGGCATTTCAAATTGAACACTAGAAAACTAAGATCACTAGAAATTTGCATGTAAACTAAGATCACTAGAAAACTATTTCCTAAGGTTGAAAGAACTTCGTCTTTATTAGAATTAATACATTGGGATGTATGTGATTTGCATGACACACCTAATAGAGTTGACAAGAAATATTTTGTGATATTTATAGATGACTATTCAACGTTTTGTTATGTTTATCTTTTGAATTCTAAAGATGATGCTTTAGAGAAATTCAAAATTTATAAGAATGAAATAGAAAATCTAGGTAACACTAAAATTAAGTACATAAGGTTTGATAGGGGTGGTGATTATCATTTTTCTCAGCTTTGTGAAAATGTAGTTATAGTACATGAAGTCACAACGCCACATACTCTACAACAAAATGGAATAACAAAAGAAAGAACATGACACTAACTAAAATGAGCAATGCTACGTCTTGTTATTCGAGTTTAGATAAAAGATTTCGGAGAGGAACCTTGTTAACTACAAGTCACATATTGAATAGAGTTATCATAAAAAACGCAAAAATAACACCCTATGAATCTCGGAGGAAAAGAAAACCTAATCTAGATTACTTAAAAATTTGGGATTGTAGAATCATTATAAGTTATGAACCTAAAAGGAAGAAACTAGGCAACAAATGATTGAGTGCATTTTCTTGGGATATGCGCAATATAGTGGTTGTAAGTTATGAACCTATATATTCTTTGTAGTTGTATCCAATGAATCAATTGAAATTAGTACTATCATAGAATCTTGAGATGCAAAATTTTATGAGAATGGGTTCTCTAGTGTTCCAAAATTAAAAGAATCTGAATAGGTAGTTGAAATATCAAGAGTAGCTTCAAAGGAAAATGAACCAAATGAAACTAGTAACCAAGTGGAACTTAGGAGAATTAAAAGAGTTAAGACTGAGAAATCTTTTGGTCCAGATTTTGTGGTTTACTTGGTAGAATGAGATAGAAAAACTACTTGTAAGCAAATGATTTTTACCTAATCAATGGAATCGGATCTTGAAGAAGCTATGAAATCTCAATATTCATCTGTTTGGAAACAAGTAATAAATGATGAAATGGATTCCATTATGAGCAACAAGACTTGGAAATAAATTGACTTACCCTCGTTCTCGAAACCTTTTAAGTGTAAGTAAATTTTTAAAACCAGATTAGTGGCAAAAAGATATACGCAAAAGGAAGTTATTAATTGTTTTGATACCTATGCACAAGTAGCCAGAATTTTCACAATTAGAATCTTAATTATTTAAGCCTTAATTTATAAGTTTGAAATACATGGAACAACTTGAGGGTTTTGTTACGAAAGGCCAAGAGCAAAAAGTTACGAAGTAGTTGTGTCAAATTGGTTTAAAATTCATGAATCTAATAAGTGTGTATATAGCAGATTTACTAATGGAAAATGTTTGATAATATTTTTGTTCATCAATGACATGCTAATACTTAGTACTAACTGAGTTAGATAGTATTAATAGTACTCAAGATTTTTTGTCTTATAACTTTAACATGAAAGCTATGGGTATTGTAGATGTGTTCTTAGGAATTAGAATAATAAAGCAAGATAACAATTTAATTTTATCTCAATCTTATTACATTGGGAAAATACTTA